TTGTGCTGGCGCTCGTCGTGCGCGTCGTAGTGTCAGCGTTTGACTTGTTCACACCCCGGGGATGGTGAGGAACGCGAAGGCACTACTTCCCTTCCCTGCTGGCCTTACTCTGCGGTCTGCCGGCAGGGCCAATTCCCGTAGCTGTCCCCGTATTTATTGTAACCCTTTGCCCCGCGGATGGGCAGCTCTCCTCCTTTTAAGTTTGCTTATACTCAATGTCTATGTTAAGTCGTTTCTTCTTTTTCTTTTTTCTTCTTCTTCAGTAAAATGGAAGGAGAGGTCAGCACATTACAAAGCAAAGTCGGGAAAGGGTGGTTTGGTTTGTTTTTAGTAAATACAAGAGTCTAAAGCATCTTGTTCACTAACTACCCTAAAAAGACCACTTATACCATAATACCCAGAAGTTACCATTAGAATGATAAACCATCAGCACGGTGTGGCAGGAGCTCCCAGGGGGATTTCCCTAAAGTAACTGTACGCCTCCCTCATCTATTGGAACTTAAGTATGTCAGTAAACCAGTAGTTATGACAAATGTCCTGAGGACATAAGAATACAAAGGACTTACGAAATCTGCGCTACAGGAATGTCTGTTGCAAGAAACTGTGGTGTATGGCCTTTCTCATAGGTTGACCAAGCTTGAGCAGCTTTTATTTTGTTACGGCTATTCATTTTGGATCCAGAGCTCACTTTCTGCGGTCATTAAGGATCTTCCAGTTCCTTCAGTCTAAATTTATTCATAGCCAGTTAATAATCATTGTTGTGCCTGTGTTATCCTTTAATCCTTTATATTACACTTCTTCCTCCTGGTTCTGCCTCATAGTGTATTTGGAGGGAGCGCTTGTGTTTTGTCATACTTTTTTTTTTTTTTTTGCTAAATTGAAGAACTAAAGTTCTTTGGGTTTATAATACTGATTTTCAGTTTCTTTGCTCATCATAGCTCTTCTCTACATCTGTTCCAGTTTCAGTTCATCTTTCTTGAATGATGCTGACCAATATTTTATGATCTTAGTTTCCTATACTTTAAAAAAAGTCTTGTGAAATCTCCTAAAAATTAAAAACAAAAAGAAGAAAAAAGGCTCTGCAGGAAGCTAGTAGACTAGTAGTTGTTGGGCAAAAAAACTGATATAAATGAGAGTTCATACTAGCTGATCACAAAATGTTAGATACGTGAGCAGTTTTAAAATAACATTCTTATATAGCAATATATTGGTAATATTCTTTAATAAAACCAATGATTACAAATGGATATGTGTTAAAGTGGATAAAACCAACAAGCAGTAGCATACTGTATGGCTCTATTTCTTCCTGCTGAATTGTGTTTTTTAGTGACAGCTTAATGAATGTTTGCAGTACATCTTTAATGCTAGCTTTCAGCATGTAAGGCTTCATCCTGGAGAGCATTGCTTTCTTTCCCAGTGAAGCTTACATGGGAGATCAGGTTGTTCACCACCTCTCAAAATGAACTGTTCTTTTCCTGCTTAACGTTTTCTTTTTTAAATTACCATGTAGGAGCTGCATAATTTTAAGTCTTTTCATATGATTAACTTTCAACTCATTTTTGGAAATAATCTTAGCTTGTTCTAAAAGTATGTAACGTACATTTGAGTGTGCGTTGAAAAGGTACTACAGCTCCTTACTGACCAAAGATGCTTTTGCGTGATCACTGTTTTTACTGGAAGAAAGCAGTTATTCTATCTATGTATTCTTTAAAGAGTGATAAATTAAGAAATTTACTTCCTGCCCAAACTGGGTTGTGTGTCACATAATGAAGGTGCTGTGTGGGGAAGCTGTGTGTGCTGAGCAGTTTTAGTCTTACCATAGATTGCCATATAACTGTTCTGGTATGTGTACCAAACATCTATAGAATTTACAGATATTTTAGTTAAGCGTTTGTAATGTAAGCAATTAACCGAGTTTTCTTCTCAAATTTGGAAGCTTAACTATAAATAGCCTGACTTTTAAATATGTCAAACTCCACAGCTCCTGTTGACCTAGATGGGATCTGTGCCTGTTCAGCACTCTTGAAGATCATGCTGCTTATTAGAGACCTAACTTTAAATGCCTGTATGTATAAATGTAAGGAGATAATAAGGCATTTGAATTACTTAGTAATGATATTTTGACCATCTGTGTGTGGGTTTTTTCAGTTTAGTATCTACAACAATACGTTTGCATTTCATTAAAAGTAATAGTTGCAATAAATTGAGCTGTGAGGGGTTGTATTTCAAGGTAATTTTATGTTCCAACAAGTGTTGAAATAGGATGACAGACAATTGCCATTCAACAAATTCAACTTCATTGTTGATATATATTGACTTTGTGAAACAGTTTAAATAGTTTGAATTAATAATAACAATTTGGAATTTATTTAAGAATTATTTCTCATATTAAAATAACACTCATCATTCTTGTGTTTCTATAAGCTATTGCAGATCACAAGCCTCTGGTAAAGTGATGAGTGAAGAAGAACATTTTTCAAGTAAAAAGTGCCTGGCTTGGTTTTATGAATATGCAGGTAATATGCAATGGATTCATATTCAGTACTATATGGTTTTGTTAAAAATAAAAGAATACATCAAATATTATTTACATTTTGGGGTTTTTTATGCTGATCTAGACATAAAAATTTTGTCCAAATTTGCTTTCTTCTAACATGCACTTGAATTAGCCTATCTTTTGCTATCACCTTTTCAGTATTTGTTGTTCTTGACTTTTCGTTCTTTACTATGTGCTTTATAACTTACCATGACGTTAACTAAAATGAAATAACTGATGTTGTACAGTGTTGAACAAGGATACACTCAGTGAATCTACCTCTTGATTTGAAATGGTTAAGTAAAAGTGAGGACACTGAGAGATAATTTAGATGGAAGTTTATTTATGTAGCTAGATCTTATTTATAATCAAATTGGAAGGATAATGAAATATCTCATAATTTAAGGCTCCTGGTTTTCTGTTTTACAACATAGAATAATAGATGCTTATTCTGCTTTTCCTATATGAGAATCTGTCCTAACATTTTTGGTATTTTAAGTAACAAATATTCAGAAGCATTAGAACAAGCCTCTTTAAAATAATTCAGAATCGCTAAGTAACAGTTGCTTTCAGTGAATATTCAGTGTATTTTGCAGAATTTATTAGACTATTACTGCAATTTATTTGCCAATTATATGGTTAGAAATTCAGGATCATTATTAATTTCTTGTCTAGTTACTACTTGAAATCTGTAATAACTAATTGATGTTTAAAAGTCATTAATGGCTGATTCTCAGTATGACATGACCTGATGATTTTTCTGCCAGCAATTGGTTTGAGTATATTTATCAGAACTGATATTTTCCTTGCAGTCTTTCCACAGTAATGAACTACTGATTCTAGTAATCTGCTTTTTAATTTAGGTTTGAGGCATTCTCCTTTGAAGTAAAGAGTCTTTTCTCATTTAATTTTCTCCTGATAAATATTCCTGCACAAACTTTTTTAATGCCTGTAATTTTTTTGTTGTTGAGTCATGAACCAAGTTTAGGAGATTATACTTTGTTAGTTAACCATATCAAAATATAGAATAGAATCATAAAATCATTAAGGTTGGAAAAGACCTCCAAGATCAAGTCCAACCGTCAACCCAACACAACCGTGACCAGTAATCCATGTCCTGAAGTGCCACGTCTACATGTTTTCTGAACACCTCCAGGGATGGTGACTCCACCACTTCCCTGGGCACCCTGTTCCCATGCCTCACCACTCTTTCAGTAAAGAAATTTTTCATAATACATAATGTTTCTGCATAGAATAGAATTCAAGTGAGATTATACACCATAGGAATTTGAATGTTTCCATTAAAAGAGAAAATTATACACACAAGCGTATGTGAATCATACACATGCTTTCTGGCCCTAAACCATTACTTCAAGTTTGTAGTTATCATTACCAACGGACCCTCTATTGTCAAACTTGCAAATCTTTTGACACGTTCTATGTAAGGGCTTCTCAAAACCAGATGGAAGTGTTTTGCCTTGCTTACCTAGGTGAAATGGGTTTTGCAGCATTTTTTAACATGTAGGGGTTCATGATCTTAAATGCCAATTGCATTTTATTTTCCTATAAAAGCAGACATTCATGCTCATTTCTATTGACTGTGTTCTTACCTTACAGAGAGTAATTATTCAAAGTACATCATCATTCTTAAATAAGGATTCTGCTTACAATAACATTGGCTGATACAGATGAATTGAATACAGATCTTATCAAGGGGAAACAAGGGGGAAAAGAAGGACTGTTAGGTCTATGTGTAAATAGCAAAATTTGCAAAAAAAAAGTTTGAAGTGGCATATTTTTCTAAAAGATAAAGCCTTTACCTTTTACATGGGTTCATATTCACTAAAACAATGTTAATATAATGATTCAAGACACATCAAAATAGCATGTCAACAGGCCTTCTAATAATATTTGGTTGCCCAGTAGGAGTCATTTTTGGAACGGAATTAGTGGAAATAACTGAAACCAGAGAGATATTCAGAAGAAAAAAGCTTTGTAGAGTGTGTCTGTACATGCTCTTTAAGTACTCTAATTTGCTGCTTTTTAGAGACTTTGTCTGTGACAAAATGGAAAAGTGACAGCATAGCACTAATTGTTGTGGTCCTAATCGAGCTATTTTCATGGCAGTCCTAAACATTTTTCTGCTTTGTATATGGCTAACAGGATTAGCATTTTTTTCTGATTTGGTGTTATCACTCTCGTTATTCCTTAGCATCATAAAACTAAGCTTACATTATTTGAAGATTCATCCTCTTCTGTGTTATTGCACACCCATAATATTAACACCATTGAAAGAGTAATATTTTGAATAGCAGCTCAGATGGAAGTATTTTTTTGTTGTTGTTGATAAAATACCTCTTGAAAGAACGTTATTCATAGAGTAACTTCAACACAGTAGTGGGTACCAAAGTTGCCTTAAAGACAACTGACCACCAGCTATTGGAGTTGAGCTGTGTTAGTGAGAAACTCCGTGAAGTGTTTTGAAAACTTGCATACACAACTAATGTGGCTTGTAGCTTGTCTACTGTTGTGGGGAGGCAGCGCACAATAAGGATGTTCTGATTTAGTTTTGGTTTTAGTTCATAGTGTTACTTCATATATAATATACACATCTCTACATTGCAGTTGATAGAAAGGTCGTAACATAAAACTACTTAATAACGTAATTCAGTGGTTTTTAAGATAACAATAATTTGACTATACTGCATACAAGCTATGTGTGTAACCCTTGTGAGCAGTGAATGATAGTTAGATTTCAGTGTGTTTTCTTTTTGGTTTCGAAGGTCCTGATGAAGTTGTGGGGCCTGAAGGAATGGAAAAATTCTGTGAAGACATCGATGTCGAGCCTGAAAATGTAGGTTTCTTGCACAATACTAACACTTGAAAAGGGGTTTTTGGATAAGATTAAGTTCTGTTTATAACTCTTAACTTCAGTAAGCAGAGTTACCCATCAGTTATGCTTGGCTGGTGTGTGAGGTTTTATGCTTGTTTTACTGTAGTTATAATTCATTTTCAGAAATTGAAATTAAGGGAAAGATTGCACATAGCCAAATTCTTAAAATGGTAATAAATACAAAGTGCAAGCATGTACAAAAATTGCTAGAATGTTTTAATGCTTAGAGTTTTCTTCTTGGACATCTCAAAACTAGCCTCTTCTTACTGACTCCTTTTTCTCCCTTTCTTGTTTTTGGTTTTGTTTTTTTTTGTTCTTTTTTTCACTTGTAGATTATTATGTTAGTATTAGCCTGGAAACTAGAGGCTCAAAGCATGGGATTTTTTACCAAGGAAGAATGGTTAAAAGGAATGACCTCATTACAGTAAGAGTGTTTTTACATATATAATAGAATGTTCTAATTTTATATTTGTACCAGTAGACTCATTATTCTTGCCTTCAGTTTCTTGTGCATTGGCAGTAAGACATGGAAACTTTTACTTTTAGATCTGGTATTGGTCAACAACTGAAGGTAGCCACTGTTGTTCCTGAAGTTATGAATCTGAGTTCACTCATGATAAAGTTTTGTCTAGCCCTAACAAGTCAGCTTTTGGTGGCTTCTTTTTCTTAGAAAATATGTTAAAATATCATTCTACTTGGCAGACACAAATAAGTAGATCTGGAGATACCCATAAGTTGATCTCAGCACTAGTATTGTTGAAGGTTTTTACTGATTTCTAAGCTTTGTAGATGAGGACAGCATTGATAATGATTTTAATTATTGGTACTATTTATTAGAAGCAGACCAGAAGCTATGCTTAATGCTTAGGTTAAATAGCACTTTTTCAATCTATAAATAAACTTATTCCTTCTGTTTTTAAAAAGTTCTGGTGAGATAATGCTCTGACCAAAGAGGTTGTGTCTTTCATGAAGCTAATAAGCTTTTTGTGAGGCTTAGTTCATGTTGTCACTTCCTTTTTTGTTCTTCGTGAAACTACTTATGGTACTTGAATGTTTTAAGGGAAACTTGTTATGACACTGTGTTCAGTATGAAAAATGACAGGGAGCTACTGTTGCAGCTACACCATGGTCAGAAAGAGGGGCTGGTTTGACCCTTGGGGTTGACAAAATTACCTTCTCAGTTGGCAGGTGTTTTGGGAAATGGTATCGGGAGATACTCTCTCATTGTTTGAGACTATGGAGTGACTTTGGCTTGACTCCCTTGTGCAAATTTATTTGATTTGGGAATAGGCTTCCAGTAGATGTGTTGATTGTTTTGTGTGACTATCAGAAGCTCTTAGATTTAGAAAGACCTGGAATGATTAAATTGCCTGCAGTTCAGCACAACAGAGATTAAGTTCCAGGTATGTAATTTTTTTAGATGCAGTGAATTAGGTATATTTCGGTCGTGTCTCTGAAGTACTTAATTTTTGTACTGAAATGGAAGCTCTCAGGAGTTAGCTGGTCTAGCGGGATGCAAGCACAGAGATATATGAAATCAGGCACCTCTTCAGAGCTGTTATTATAGACCTTATTTTTAATAATGTCCTGTGATAGGAATCTTTTGGTTCTTTATAAGAACAGAGCTGGTCATGCTGTAGGCTAAATGTGTTTAAGACAGAAAATACGGTACTGCTGTGCATGTTTATATAAAAACAGACTTGTGATCAGAGCACTTGCCTAAGCCTAAACCAGTTAACAAGTGCATTGTGCTTCCTCTGAGTGTGCTCTAATAGCAGGCTGTAGGCTAAGCAGCTGGATGAAGCGGTGACACTCATGTAAAGGAATTCAAGATTCATTGGCTTAAAGAGAGAATATAAATCTGTAGACTTGTACTGATTGTGGTTACTGGGAAAGGAGGATCACATTATGGGATTTCATCTGGAATAGGAGAATTTAGTTTCTCTTGAAAGGTTTGAATGAAGTTTTGAAGCAGAAGGATTTTGCACTGTTAAAGCAATAGTTATGTTACTACATTCTTGCACAATGTTTTTTTGTGATTTGTTGTTGGTTTTGTTCTTAGTTTTTGCATGAAGAAATTACACGCTGGGCCCTTAATGTATTTTAAAGTATGCTGAGTCAGTTACATTGCAGAATTCTTATTTCAAAATATGTGAAATGTCACATAAGATAATTGCATGAACGGATTTGAGTGGAGTTCAACTTCAGAGCAATCCTGGGGAAAAGGATTTGGGCGTGTTAGTGGATAAGATCAACATGAGCCAAGAGTGTGCCCTTGCGGCCCAGAAAGCCAACCGTATCCTGGGATGCATCAAAAAATTTGTGACCAGCAGGTCAAGGGACATGATTCTGCCCCTCTCCTCTGCCCTTGTGAGACCCCACCTGAAGTACTGCATCCAGCTCTGGAACCCCCAACACAAGAAGGACATCAAGCTGTTGGAGTGAGTCCAGAGGAGGGCTACCAAGATGGTCAGAGGGCTGGAACACCTCTACTATGAGGATGGGCTGGGAGAGTTAGGCTAGTTCAGCCTGGAAAAGAGAAGGCTTCAGAGAAACCTTGTAGGCCCCCTTCAGGTACTGGAAGGCTGCTATAAGAAGGCTGAGGAGGGAATTTTTACAAGGGCCTGTAGTGATAGGACGAGGGGTAATGCGTGGAAGTTGGAAGAGCATAGGTTTAGACTAAGTATATGGAAGAAGTTCTTTACCCTGAGAGTGGTGAGGCACTGGAGCAGGTTGCCCAGGGAGGCTGTGGATGCTCCATCCCTGGAAGTGTTTAAGGCCAGACTGGATGGAGCCTTGAGCAATCTGATATAGTGGGAGATGTCCCTCCCCTGTCAGAGGGGTTGGAACTAGATGATCTGTGAGGTGCCTTCCAACCCAAATCATTCTATGACTCTGTAGTAAGATACCTGAATGTGTGATTTATGTGCAGGAGCTTGATTTCTTAAACTCTTACTGCAATCTTTGGGCTATCTTTGGAGATCTAGTCAATGTAGTGGAGCCTAGGAAGGTGTTCAGTTTCCCCTAAGACCAACTGACTGGTCACCTGAATTGCTTTTGGATTAGTTGGTTAGACTTCTAGGAATGGCAACACCTAGAGCTTGGAAGTCCAATCTGCAGTTAGATGCCAGCATTTGGGTGTGTGAAACTTGAAGTGCCATTCTTTTTTTGTGTGGTTTTATGATATGCTTATGAAGTTTGTTCCTGGGAGAGGAGGAGAAAAATAAATATGTCGTAAAGTATGCACTGGAAAAATTAAGGTGGATGAAGCAATTTAAGCAATATCATGTTGGTAGGGTGATTTATGCCCTATATATATATATGTGTGTGTGTGTCTGTGTCTGTGTATATATATATATATATATATATATGAAGATTGGGTGCCTGAATCTAAGTTAATCACCTGAAGCTCTTTTCAGAGAGAAACAAGTATTTTGCTGGGCATTTTATTTCAGCTCTTTTAAATACCTCTTTAGGATGAAATGAGTAGGCCTCAGGAAGTGACTGTTTATATCTACATTTGCTTTAAAGCCGTTGGAGGGTGAATAACTTCAGAATTGAGCATTTACCTTTACATATCTGAGATAAAGGAGAAGCATGCTCCTGTATCTGCCAACTATAGGCTTTGCAGACCTAGAAAGAAAAAAAATCTATTTAGAAAACAAAGGTGAAGGAAAAAGGATTTCAGTTCATTATTTTATTAAACTCCACAGAAGTCATTGTTTGAACTAGGTAAATATAAAGAATTTCATTTGTAAGGAAGTGAGATGTAAGCAGCTGTATTGACTGAGTACTTCCCTCTGGCTGTGTTTTTTACCCTTGGAATTTGAGTCAAATTTTACATGCAGGTTGAGGTCTTGAAAATGAGTGGCCAGGTAGAGGTGACAGAGCCAGATTAGATTCCAGCTGAGGGAAACATACAGTCATTTCGCATTTTTAGGTACAAGGGAAGCCCCTGGAGGAAGAGAGAGGCAGGAAAGTAAGGTTTGGAAAAATTTTGCTGTTTGCAGAATTCTTAGTAGAAATGACCTTTCTGGACTGATTTTACAGCATAGTATCATCTGCTTTTCCAATGAGCTTTTTGCTTGTTATTGCCTTTCTTTCTCTTAATATTTGTGATGCTAACACAAAGCGTAGTGTAAATAATATTTAATTTGTTTTATGCCACTATAGCATTCAATTTATACACAATCTAAACAATTTCTGGTCTCCAGACCTGTAAATCAAGTGATATAGGGCACAGAAAAGATGGCCTCTTGCTCTCTTAAGCCGTTACTTCCTTGGACCTCTGTGTTCTCCAGTCATAACATGAAACTCAAATGTAAGAAGAATCTGTTTTAGTGGTTGAAGAGAATGGGTGGGCTAGAGGGATATCATTTCCTTTTGTCCGGCTGGATGATGGCAAGGGAACTCTTGTAGATGAATAGAACTTCAAACTACTTTATATACTGCAATTAAATGCTTTTGGTTTAATGTCTTTGTCTTATTTTTCTTTTTGGTAAAAGACAAGCATGGTTGAATAAATATGAAACATTGAAATATCTGAATGGGGTTATTGAATCATCATTCTATCCATGTTAGCTATCACAGAATGTTAGAGGTTGGAAGGGACCTCGAAAAATCATTAGTTTCTCCCCTGCCAGAGCAGGATCACCTAGAGTAGGTCACGCAGGAACGCGTACAGGCAGTTTTTGAATATCTCCAGAGAAAAAAACTCCACAACCTCTCTGTTCCAGTACTCTGTCCTCACATGAACTCTGTACCTCAATAGAAATCAAAATAGGATAGCTTTTTGGTGCTAATTTAAGTTCTGTTATGAGTGTGATGTAGGGACAGGGAAGAGAATGTACTGAGCCAATGTCTAGCTTTGTTGATCTTGAGGTAGCCTTATTTAATGCTGTTTTTCAGTGAAGGCAGTTCAAGAAATTATGTCTCTTTACAGGAGACACCTGTGCTAATTAGAAGGTTGTTCAGACTGAAAAAAACCAAAAAAATCTATGGGGAAGATTGGTATAGGTGACCTCAGTCATCTTATTTATGGTGCAGCCATGCAAGCAGCTATGTCTCTATAAAAGAGGAGTTTGATAGCTCCTTACCTCAAAAATCAGCAGCCAGGTATGGAAATGCCTAAAATGGCTTTAACAGAAAGATGATTCCATGATTCCATGTCCCTGCATCAGCTGCAGTGGGTGGTGCCTGTCCGAATGTGATCCATTTGTTCAGTTTCAAACATGTTTACAATAGCTCAGGAGTCTTGAAGCTTAATCATTGTGCTTTCATAACCAACTTTTTCAGGAGAATCACTTCTGCATTAAAACACATGCAGATGACAGTACAGTAGATAATAACAAGAATTTTACCTTGCACTTAAGTTTATGGTAATTTGAACAATTTTAACAAAATATTTTGTAAGAAATTTAAACATACTGTTTTTTATTTTTCATATGATAAATGAATTTAGTCAAATTATATTCCAAAAAAGTTTGATAAACCCACTTTAAGTAGTTTATAAATGTGAGCATTTAGTTAGGTGTTAAATAGTAGATTTGTCCTGAAGTGTAGGGCACACTATCATCGTAGTATGAAGGTTTGAACATATTAAAAACAGATGAGAATATAAAATGAGATGCCTTTGTAGCCTAGCATAATACCATTTTAAGACTTAAATGATGGAATACACAGATGAATTAGGTGGCTGAAGACCAAAGAAAGTAATTTTATCTTTATTTAAATTTATTGAAGCTTTTTTTAACAAGATTTCTTTTCAGCTTAATGCATAGTGTATTATGAATTATATTAGTTCTTGTCACCTGAATATGCAGCCTGAATAGCTAATAGTTTGAATTATTTAACACTGGTCTTGAGTGGGACTCAGTGCTGCTTTAGCTAGGTGCTGCTAGAAACAAGACGTAACGGAAGGCTCCATCAGCTGCCGTTTCTCTTGTCAAAGCCTGAGAGGGCCAGGCAGGCTGACTGACTCCCTGCACAGGCGAAGCAGACCTGAGAAGCAGAAAGTATCGGCTGTGGGCAAAGTGCAGTGTCACAGTACAGCGTCTCAGTAGCCTGCTGTGGTGCTCACGAAGGGCCCTTGCACTGTACTGCTGTGACAAGGCCATGAGGAGTACTGAAGATGCAGACATATTCTCTGACAGTCAGACTGGATACAAGGCGAGGTGGAATTTATTTATTTGTTTTGTGGCAGCTACTATTTTATAAGAATAAAATGCGATATAACAACTGTTCTTTTCAGCGAGTCTTTCCTGGAGGATTAGCATGTGTAAACTGTGTTCTCCTCCACCATCATTGGTGAATCTAAACCCAGTTTTCTATTTGGAAACAAAAACCCTTGCTAAGTAAATTATGTGGAGATCTTCTTTTCTGTCAAAGGGTTTTGGATTTTTTTGCCAAAGGATTATCCTGTCAGCTAGTAGACCTGTACATTCTTGTACAGCCTGGGAGTTTTCAGTTGAATAGCTACTGACTAATCCAGGTGATAGGCTTATCAGAGCTTGCATTTATCAGTTATAAAACATGAGCAGACTAGTGTGTTTTGCAGAGTGCCTGCACCATCCTGCCACTGGTAAATATGTAGTCTTGAAGTGTGTGGTTGGTTGGTTGGGGTGCTTGTTTTTCCCAAAGAGATGTGATATAAAGCCCTTATTTACAGCTGGATTTTGCCACCTAAGTGCACACTGAATACTACTTTCTCCAGACTTTGGTAGTGATTGAAAGATAAGATAATGCTGGATTTTAATATAAATTGCAAAGTATGGCGCAAAAAGCAGAGGCTTTATTATGTTCCTAATACATTTTGAAAAAACTTACTTGCAGAAGCCAAGCATTTATCGTTTCACTAAGATGCAAATATTAAGCATGTTCAGTGTTCAAGTCACTTTCATAATATTATTCCTGTACATCTGATATTTTGGTGATTTTAACTGCTATGTTTGCTGGCATTTTTTTTATTGTTCCAGTATTTCGTTTTGAACTTCTGACATCAATTGTTTTTCTTTATTTTAAGGTGTGACTGTACAGAAAAATTACAGAGTAAATTTGACTTCTTGAGGTCACAATTGAATGACATTTCATCTTTTAAGAATATCTACAGATATGCCTTTGATTTTGCAAGGGTAAGACTACTGGAATACTAGAGAAGTTCTTGCTCTAATTATTCAGTGAGCTTGTACTTGAGTCATTTTTGTGCTTGCTTTATTCAACCTTAGGATAAAGACCAGCGAAGTCTTGATATTGACACTGCAAAATCCATGCTAGCTCTTCTGCTTGGAAGAACTTGGCCGTTGTTTTCAGTATTTTATCAATACCTGGAGGTACAAGTTTCCTTCGCTTTCTCAGTGATGGTATAATAGTTGGACTGTTCTGGTTTCAGGGTTTGTGGGTTTCTCCTCAAGAATGTTTCCTTCTGGCTTCTCTTTTGTTTCTTGATGTGCTTATGAAAGTGATGTTCTTATATGTGTCACAGACCCTTCCCCCTTCCTGTGCTGCACCCCGCCCTTCTCTTATCAAAGGCAACTAAAATTCCATCTTAATTAGACTATAAAGGTAAATTTAAAATTCAATAATAGAGCCACAGTAGTCTCTTCAGCTGCATCCGTGCTGAATTTCAAATTCACTTTGTGCAGATACAGTGTGTAGGTACTTGGCTGTGGAAGATTTTGGTCAACTCAGCTGCATGTGACTTGGCAATGTGGATGTGTGTAGGCTGTGGAGAATTCTAGACTTGAGACTAGTTCCTGGCTTCAAATCAGTACTGATATGGCATAGTACATATCCTTGTGATCAGAGTGTTTCGTACACTGGGGGAAAAATATTTATAATTGTTCATTCTGGAAATGTATCTGAGCTGGATATGCCCCACTTGAGGGCAAGATAAAAACTCTACCAGGTTTTGAAGCTTGAGTGATGATTTCTTGACTCCCTGGTATTCTCATTTTGCTCTGAGCTTTCAAAAAAGCATTTTATGTAGTTTCAGAACTATGAAATATGTGCATGTGCAGTATATTAAAAAATGAAAAACCAAGGAAATAGTAGCTGTTGTTACTCATTAAATTGTTTGTCAGGAACTGATTGAAGATAAAATGAGAGAAATAAGATGCAGCATTACCAAATGTTGCTTGACATTTTAATGTTCTGAAATTATTTTCCTTAGCAATCGAAGTACAGAGTTATGAACAAGGATCAGTGGTACAATGTGCTAGAGTTCAGCAGAACCGTCCATGCAGATCTTAGCAACTATGATGAAGATGGTGCATGTAAGTAGTCAGAACATTTTTGCTTATTCAGCTATTAATTCAATATTTTCAGTATGAACAAAACGAATTTCCATAACTGAAACAGTACTGCAAGGTATCAAGTATTTTCATCCAACAATGCATAGAAAAACTATCCTCATAAACATCCATCTTCAAACTGCAGATATTGATTGCAGTAGTTTGTCAGGGGTATGATGGTGTACATGAACCGACTTACATTTAGTTGGGGATCTGGTGAAGCTACTTGCTACATGAAAGTATAGATTTGCAAATAGGATTATAAACAGCAAACTCTCATTTTGTAGTAATATATAAAACTGTAGTTTAACTGGAGTTAACTATAAAGTACCCTAGCTGTTGGTCAGTACTATGGTGGTATTGCATTAGGCATCCTGTTTTGGTCTGTGTTCTAGTTTTGAAAGGAAGAAGGAATTAGTTGTGCCAATTGACAATATGACCTTACCTTTATGCTTTCTATTCAGTTCAGTGCACTTGTCAGGTGTCAGGAACGCTTTTTTCCATATTTCTTTGTAGCCATCTATATGATGGAATCATAATCACTGTTTTATAATTCTTTGTGTAGTGATATTTGTGCACTTTTTGCCACACTTGGATTGAAATGATCGTAATCATCATTATTTGACATGAATGTTACCTAGACCAATAGTTTTAACCCTCATACTTTAAAAGAAGATGATTCAAAGATATTGATAAATATAACTCCAAGTTTCATCCATTTGCAGGGCCTGTACTTCTGGATGAATTTGTAGAATGGCTAAAAGTTCGTCAAGCATCATAGCAAGAATTCAAAAGAAAATGCAAAAGTTGTTTTGGTGCCCACTTCTACACAAAGTAATGAGAAAAACGAAGGATTGCATTTTCATTTTTAAGAAAGACTTTACAGTAATTTGTTTTTCTTTTTAAAGGAAATTTTCTTGTTACATGTGACATGGGCATTGAACCACACCTCTTCTGAGACTGAAAGCTGGAGTTCTTGTTTTGAGTCTTATGTTTATAGCATTTATTTCAGAACAATAAAGATCAGATTTGTGACAAAGGCCTAAAAGTGAAGAATGTCCCTTGAATGTGAGTGTGGTGTCTATTTTTAAAACCAAATCTTTTAAGATTAACTTTCTCAGAAGTGCCCTTTGCTATGAATTTTTGAAGACCTTAAAAGGCCTACCTGGCGCTGTTGCTTGCTGGTGGTATAACTGTCTTGTGTGACAAATATTACAGAGAATGAATGATTTCTTTTAAAAAAAAAAATTATTTCGTTTTTTTGGAGCCCTGGGTGGGATTGTGCTAATTTGCGTATTAAGTATTGGTCATGGGTTGTGCTGCAGTTTCCAGCTCCTTGTGGAGATAAAGGCCTTAAACTTTTTTTCTTCTTCTGTTTAGTTCAGTACCCCCCCAGTGGCATGGTGTTTAATGGCAGGCCCTTTTAACGCAGAAAGATGTGGAGCATGTGGCTCTAAATGCAGAATGGCTGAAAACTAGTTGCCTGTGCTTCAGATGGTGAACACTTTGGTACAGCAAGGCAGCTTCAAATTTTTACTACAGTTTAGACTTTGGATTGCTTTGTATAAAAAGTGCAATTTAGATTTTAAAAGGGAAAGCTGGAAAGACTTGGTTTCAAGCTTTGCTTCTTATGTGTTTTAGACTGGAAGCATTCATAACGTGACCTTTTTTAAGTCAAGAAGAGACTATTAAATGACCTACCTTTTGGTCTGTGTATAACAGGCTATTAATTTTATCCTGTTTCTCCATGCATTTTGTTCAATAACTACTGCAATTGCCATTTTAGACGCTCAGTATTCGTGGCAATCTTTAAATACAGCAGAAGTTTGTCACTCCTACCTTCCTGCCCAAAGGGCCCAATACCATCCTTGAGAAGGAAACGTTTTTGTGAGTAAATGGGAGAAACCAAAAGAGAATGAGAGAATGAAGCATTTGTAACTTCTGCTTTATTATGTAAGTACATTATGTAGACTGTGATAATGCCATGAGACTCAGTGATTCAAGGACTCATTGTGCCAAATATTTCAATAGCTTGAAATAAGAATAGACAATGTAAGCTAGGCATGACTTGAAGATCTTTGCCTCAGGGAAATTACTTCTGTTTTGCACATCCCTTATTCAGACTAACAAGCATGAGTTTTCCTATCCTTAAGGAAAGCTTTGTCCCCAAGATTTTTTTTTTTTTAAGAGGAGGGGAAAAAAGGAGAAAAGATACGAGGAGAAACTAGTGGGACAAACTAGTAGTGTGTACCTGTGTTCTTGTTCTACTAGAGAGGACTGCTCTTGCAAGTTACTCTTCAGACCTGCTCACTGTGGGCTGCAGGGAGCAGTGCAGGGGTCATCCACGCACTGTTCTGTAAGTCGCCTGGTAGTGCAGGTGAACCTTGGAAGCTTGGTTCTGCCCAAGCGAAAAAAGGATTTGGAGGGGGGGGGAAATAAACAACAAACAACAGTTGAGATATTTGGAATATCTCTGCTTGTACATTGTCTAGTGTCTATGTGCATGCAAATACATGCACTACAGCTGTCCTAAGTATTTTTCCACCTTTTTTTAAGGGAAGTACTGAATTTTAGACCTCATATAGGCTACAGCAGTTCTCTTCAATATGTTACCAGTTGTCTGTTTGTATTGTTGATAATTCTGATATCACTCATAATGGAGTGCCTTTCATGTGGAAATTGCCCTACCCCACAGAAAGTTAGTGCCAGAATGAGATTAGCATCAAGAGTCCCAAGATTTACTGGTAGAGTGAGGTCCTAACCTGCACCAGTTAACTTGCATCAAGGGCAGTACTGCTGAACATGAAATCTCTGCAGGGGCACTGATTCTGAAATGATTTTCTCAAATTCACTGCAATGACTCTCCTTGCTTAGTATGTTTTAGTCCCTGTTATAACTGGGGAATTCTCTTTCCAGAAGTTTTTAAATACTGGTTAGAAGATTAATATTTTATAGTGAGATTTTTTTTAAAAAAAGTCATCTTTTTTTTAGGTAACCGCAAACTGTTATCAATTCAGTTTAACCCAGTTGGTCCTAGAGGATGGTATTAGAGTCTAACAGTAGGAGTGATGCATCTACCAATCCAAGGTGGTTGAGTACTTACAGTTAAGGTGTAAGACACTATGTGATGTATCATTTGTATCTTTGTTAAGGTTTTTATCAGTGTTCCTATAATAAATCCATGTTTCAGGGATTTATAGCTTGGTTGTGTGTGTGATTGGAAATCATCAGTTACTGTAAAACTTGGACTGGGAATGAATGTATTTAAGCTACTTAAAATCAATATAGTTTTTCAAATTTGAATAAAATAGGATTTTAAGTTATGTTTTTCGTGCTCGAAACTGCAATCAGATTTATTGTTTAAATGTGAACTAATAGCTTGTACAGTTTCACTGTGAGCTGATCACTCTTGTTAGCTATCTTTTTATTAAATCTTCTTACAGCTTACTGTGGATAAGTGCTGAAAGGTGTCTGTTTTATTTTTTTAATTTTGTACATGTCCACAGCCCCAAACTGAGTTCACCTAAATGCTTTCCTTAGTCTTTGAACATGAATTTTGCTTTGTTCAGGTGCATTTCAGTTTATTGAATTAAAAACAAATGACACTTTATTTTTCAGTATTCTAGAATGAAGGTTTCACAGGTTAAATGTGCTACCGCAGTTATGGCAAATAATAAAATAGAAGGTGAAATGTCTTCCAAAACTAAATCATACTGGTGTTATCTTGATGTTATAAAATTCACTTTAATCTCACTTTCATTTATTGATGTTGGTTCTTCCTAACATTTAATAATAACTGTAATAACTATTTTTTTTTCTACTTTTCTTAGATAACTAATAATTTTGGTTTCTTAAATCTGAAAATGCCCACCTGTTCATGGAAAAAGCCATACTGATGGATTGGAAAGTAGTATTTCTCCTGTGTAAAAACGTGATCTTGAATTAAACAGTCATGTGTATTTCCCATGTCTTTAACTGTATCTGTAGCTTTGATCCAATTTATCTTTACTGTTTAAACGTCCAGTTCTTTACTAATGGCTGTAATTTCACATGTCTATGTAGCAGGATTTGAGTTTTGCATTTTCGATTCCTGGGGATACAAGCGTGGTACAAATCACGGGCAGCCCGACAGGGGACGCTGTGGTCTTGCATTTCCATCGTGATGGGGTTTGTGTGTCTCAAAAGCATTGAGCTGATACATCGATACTGAGTGGTCAAAAACTGCAAAAGGGGACCTTAAGTTTAATTCTTCTGCTATTTTGTTAACTTTTTAAGCTAGTGAACAGTTCTTTCAGTGCGATACGTACAAACATGTACAGGTTTAGCTTTAAGTGTGACAAATAAAATGGTATGTAATAGGGCAGAATTATTTTTTTTTTGGTCACGCTGTCTCTTTGGGTTTTTTATTTTTTATGTTTGTAACTGTTCTTAAACTGAGAGGCTCAATTCCAGCAAGATGGATCAGTCTAGTCTCTGGCTACACCTTGCTGAATAATTTCTTTGCTCCTGTGTGCACTTACAGAAAACAGAATTTGATCTCAGCTGGGAGCAACAGTAAACACAAATTTTGATTCTATTCCAGGTTATTAGGTGCTGATAGACCGTGATGGGCCTGGTGATTAATTTCATGCGTTATTCATTGCATGAACTGGCTTCAACACCCTGTTGCATTACATTTGAATGAAAAGAGAATCCCCCTTTGGTCCTCATGTGTTGCCTGATCTAGCTGAGAGGCGTCCCTGCCCGTGACAGGGAGGTTGGATTAGATGATCTCTGAGGTCCCTTCCAGCCTAGGCCATTCTGTGATTCTATGATTCTCTTCCCTGGCTGCCTCATTTTGCCCTTCCCCCTGCGTCTCTCTTGGGTCAGTGTTTTTAGGAGAGGACTTGGTATTTCCTAGTATCTGTCAGAGCCCGTTACAGAAAGGGTCAAACATATGACAAGCTTTCCTACTGTTTTCCTTGCAGATACAGTTTGTTCCACTCTTTGCACTTCCTAGTTGTTAAGGCTGGTGGCAGTACCTGCCTCAGGACAGTCCTGGGAGAGACTCCCAAAGATCATCGGTCTCCCTCAGACCTAAGGCAGTGCCTGTTTGCTATCTCCATGGTTCACCTTTATCTTCTTTTGATAATGAAGTTCCCGATGCCTTCCAGAGTGAGTATGATGTTCAGAGCTCTGCAAAACAGGTGTCTCTTATCTGGATTGACAAGTGATGGCAACCACTACCAGACTTCCTACCAAAATGAAATTAAGTTTATTAGATTTGTGTATCACTTCATACAATCTCTAAACTTTATAATCTTGCTCTGTTTTTATCTTAGCTAATCAGAGTGACTGATCATAACAATAATGACAGAAAAGGGAAGTTACTGGATTTGTCTTTTTATAGGCTTTACAGAGGACCCAAGTACTGTTTCTTAATCGAAGTTGGTTTCAAAACATTTCTATCGAATGACTTACTAATTTATAAGTTATTGAAATGTTATAGTTGTGTCCTGTTTCTCTAGAAACTATACCTAGTGATAAAGATGCTTTAAACACCATTTTTCAGTTTATTAAACTTCTCCAACTTTGACAATTTAAGAAAAAAAAAATCACTCAAATGTTTCAAGGATTTTGCTCATGTATATATTTTACCATCGTAGCAATGAATTAGTGTTGATTATAAAGTAATTTAAAGGTATTTTTGACCGATTTAAATTCTAATACACATCTTTTTTTCCTTATTGTTTTTAGAATTACTTATTTTCACTGTTCATTTTAAGATAGTGAATTAAAGGGTTAGAACATAGTATTGCCAACTAGCTTAATTTTTTTTTCTGCTAATAGCACTGAGGTGATTGTCTTTATTTTTTTAAATATTGGAATATTTTAGGATGGTTTACTGAGCCTATTGTAGTAACTTAAATTGCAGTAAAATGGAATTGTAGATGTGACTTGTAGCCTGCTAACTATTACAGGTTTAATGTGAAATTATTTTCTGCATTCAAAATAAGTTAATTCTAGATCAGTTTTTCTAATGAAAGAGGAAGCATCCTATGG